TAGGTGATTTTGGTTCGTCGTACCTGATAGAAGGAAATGAGACGAACGTTTGAGAGAGAGAGTGAAAGAGAAAAATCCAGAACGTCCCAAGTGCTTCTTTTGGTTTGGTTGGCTGGCTTTATATACCTGTACGTTTCAGGAAGAGCGCGCGCCACGGCGTGACACGTGTCCACCTCCATTGATCCACGACATTCTGGATGCAACTATGAGTCCATGACTACACGGCTAGGACTGGTATCACATTCTAGCAAAGAAAAGGTTTGAAAATTCAAATGTCTAGAATTACCAAATTACCCTCATCCTCCACAATGCTTTGTTTTGTAAGGAGGAGAAAAGTGTCCGACCAAAAAGGATAAAAAGAAAACTCTTGGGTCCCATTTTTCCTTTCCGACGGAAAAAAAGAACCCAAAGTTTACGTTTTTTCTTTTCTAAGTTTTTAATTCTTGTTTTACTGTCACAAGATCAAAATAAACAAAACTAGGAAGGAAAGAAAACCCCTCCATTCTTCTCTTCCACTCTTTTGATTTTTTGTTTTTGTTTTTGTGCTGAAGTGGCAAATTTTTCATTAGAATCAACTGGAAGGTGAAAGTCGAACTTGAGACATCTTGTAACATAGAAAGGAGAAAAACCATTAGACTAAAAATTAGTTGGCAAAGCGACCAACAACTTGAGTTGGCCGATCACACTTAATTTAGAGTGTACAACAATTCCTGTAGGATAGACAAGAAAATTAGCAAGGGATAAAAGTCATTCCAGTAGAGAAATAAAGAAAATTAGCTGAGCATTTTTTTAGTTGAAATAAAATGAAAAAACAAATAACATAGTTGTAAATTTGAAGGCCTTACCCTATGAAAAAAAAAAGGTATTGGTGAAGTAGAATGACAATAACAAAACAGTTCCATGCCACAGAAGGAGAAGCATAAAATTCAGTGTGAAATTAGATTATTTCTTGGATACATAGCATACATTACACTTGATTGGCAAGGCCATGAGAATGATACTGTAATTTCAATGAATGGTACAACAAACCTAAAGGAACAACATCATCGTTTCATGCCACCACATGAAAGTTTCATTTTCCATATGTTACAGTTCCCAAATTTCCCAACACATATTTAACAAAAATAAACACCAATCAGTCATGCCAGTCCCACTAAAGTAAAACACTGCGACCCGTAAACCGCTCTACTTGATCTGCATCTCAATCATCATGTTTACAAGAAGATGCCATAGGAATGAAAAATTGTGAGCTCGAATTAGTCGCTTGTGATTTGATGAGAGTTACCACTGCAAAGGGAACTTTCTGTGGATGTTCCACATCTATTGTTACAAGGAAAATTTCTGTATCACTGACATGTCAAAACAAATGGTATCAGAACTCTTGGGAGTTAAACTCAGGCCTCGACGGATACTCAAGACCCTGCAGCGCTGGTATGCGTCGCAAATCTTCTTCGGAATAAGCAGGGATGAACCAGTATCGTTTGTCCATACCAAAAACCTGATATGCAAATAGCAGAATTCCAGCTGTAAGAGCAATGCTAAAAGATCTAACACCTTAAACACAGGTGAACAGACGCACATCCAGGCCCATCATAAGTATACTACCCACATCATTTTAAGATTTAAAGACAAGACACCCAATAAAATTATGAAAAACAAGGTAATGTATATTCAAAGCTTATACACTTTTAAATTTAACTTGTTCCGGTGTACAGTGTCAAACAAACTGCATTACAGATTCCAGATCCATGCCTCCAGAAACCTAAGAAACTGGAATAGATCACTTACAGTTATGCATTCTTCATGGTATACAAGGTCTGGTATTGAACAAATGTAGGGTATTGAATAAACTTAATACCAGATTCTGATGATCATGTGCATTTTGTTTCAAATATTGTATAGACAAGGATTCTTGTCTGGACATCAAGGTCAGGTCAAGCCTCCGAATCAGAAATATCAATGCAAGGGGTCCAATTTCTATACACCACATATGAAAGTTACTACTATTACAACTATCATTACACAGATTAACAAGAATTGCAGGTCAAACAGTATTGTCTAGGAAAAATGTTCCTGCAGGCATTCAAGTCTGGGAAAATAGAAACTAGTCTTGCTTGCCCATTATTGGACCTCAACCTACCATAATGTACTACATAACAATTGTTTGCAAAAGACCTTGATGACCTTTGTTTTAATTGGAAGAAAGAGAGTAAATTAATCAAAGAACAATGTAACTTTGTAGTGCGTATGCCATGTGACTATCAGTGCCAGACTCATGATATATCACATACCAAGAAAACCATCATTATAATGTTCTTCTAAGAGTATGGATAATCTGAAAACTAAGGGCAACCTAATGAATTTATGCATTTAGCTGTCTGCTGCAGAAAAGATCCTTGTGCTTCAAGGCTTCCAGCAAATGCCAAATTACATTCAGGACTTACTGATCCCTATATTATTATCAAACATCAAAACTTTTATTCCTCCTGATGTAGACGCTAATTTTGGATTGTGAAACCCAATTAGAACTTACTCTTGAAATGCAGAATTTTGATTAAAATTAAAAGATGCACTGAATAAAGTAAATGAAATACATTGATACATTGGAAATTGTACCAACCTGTTCAAAATTCTTTTTTCGACCAAGGTCATAGCGCCATTTAGGAGAGGTTTTCTTCTCATATGCCTGATCACAAAGAATAACCCCATCAGCATCTAATTCCACACTGAGACTCCTTTGCCCATAGGGAAGGGCAAGATACTGCAAGACTAATGGAATTACTTATATGTTGGTATGACAAAGCCTAATCCGTGATTACTAATATAGTGCAACTAAGATTTTCCACATCGCTAGTGGCCCAAACATTGAAAACCAAAGTTAAATATTTAGAAGTCGATGCATGTCAATCTAGGGACCTCCAGTAAAATGTGATATTGCAATCCAAGGAAAGCCATATAACAGAGGCCTCTCAAGGAGACCGAACTACCATACCAAGTATCTAATCTTTGCTATATGAGCCTCGCCCTTTTGACACCTTTAAGATGTAAGCATAAGGCAATGCCCAGTTAAAAGGAAGAATGCAAAAACCAGACATATTGTTAACGGATTGAAGCAAAAGACTTTACCTCAATGGTTGTGGTATTTGCAGCCACTAACGATATATGCATGATCAGAAACCCCAAAACGCTTAATGCAAATGCAAGATTTAACACTGTAAATAAAGCAGCAATGTTAATTAGTTAGACAGATATCCAACCACCTCAGTAAGTAGGAACATAGGTAAAATTAGATCATACCAAAAGCAAGAAAGGTAGTTGCAAGGGTGCTAGGTGTTCCAGGTATTTCTCCTTCACTAAAGAATGAAATAAAATGTGGCAGCAAGGATAAAGTTACAACACTTGTCTCCAGAAATGTGTAAAACTGCATTGAGATTTAACAAAAGAATGAAATCAGTATAAATATATAAAGTTCATTTGATATGTATTCATGACTTAAAAAACCATAATATCCAAGGAATAGAAACTTTTACAAGATAATACAAATCAAGTAGAGCATACACAAGAACTTCTCCATCATAGTCTGACAGGACAGTACAATACAATTCATCTCCAATTGATTAACTATGTAGCCACAAACACTATTAAAAGCAGATTTTCCAAATTATACATGGAACTCCACTTTAGTATCAGTATATAACAAGCAACCACTGCCAGTACCAACCAGACTGAGGAAAAATAACTCATTGAAACAAAGAGTGACTGCATTCTTTAAGAGCACCATAAGAGTCCCTTGAATTACCTTAAAACTCATGATTTCTACCAACCTAAAGCTTTTCACCAAGTGTACTGCACCTAACTAACAGATATTTAACAGCAATCAACTCCCCTGAATATCCGGCACTAAGCATACTATAATGCTCGACACCTACTGTAATGTTCCTGCTTTACTAAATTACATATTTACAGTATATCAAGTATTTATCATTGCCATGCATCAAATCGTAAGCTGTTATTTTGAGATTTTTAAATAAAATAATTGCCATACTGACATAGCATAAGATAGTAAAGTGGGAGAATTATAGTGTTTGTGTGAGAGGTAACCAAGTTCATAATGAAATGTGAATTGAGTTGCAAGTCCCAGCCAATACCAACAAAAAATTATGTTCTCCACCTCTTCAAATTTGCAACTATCAGCTTAGAACATGCAGTCCAGGACCATTTTACTAATGCTAGGAAAAACTCATTACAAAAGCTTTGTTTTTGCTTTATATATAATCCACTAATCACATTATATACAGTCCATGAGCCTAATTGATGAAACAATCTGTGCAAGGTTATACCCCTTGAAATCCAGCAATTATTCCAAAGTTAAATTATGGAGTTCTGTTTGAAGAATACGATCTAGAAGGTGAGATGACCTATTGTTCAGTTATCTACCAGAAGGAACAACATCAATTTTCCCTATGAGAACTATGGAACAATTCTGTTAAAGTGATACTACCACTATGGAAAAATAAGCTCAGTGGTACATTCAGGAGACCCTAAGTGGTCACGCTATGTGACAAAGATATACAGGCGAAGTCAATCTAGATCATTGTCTGTGGCCTGTCTGTGGCCTGTCTGCGGCCTATTGGCATTCCAGGGAATGTACACTAGAGTTGAGCTTAAAAATTGTTTAAAAAGATGGAAATGTAACATATTTAAGCTTTTTCTTTGGGAACAATGAAAACTTGCCCCAATACCTAACTTCTAATCAAGATACCTTTCTTTCAAATGCTCACGACCTATATGCAGGTATCTTAAGCATTGTAGAAGAAAATGAAAATGGAATCCTCGGTAGATAGAACCGTGTCAACTCATTCAAACATAATCTCCTGTGAAAAGTATTTCACCTTACGCAGTGAAACAAACTTACCAAGAAAAGTAGAAAATACTTGTAATTTAAGGCCCCAACACAATTTACAACCCATACACAATGGTGATCCATTTTCAGTACACACCGCCCACCTGAAAGTTGAAACAAAGAATCATCCAACATCAAGCTCTAATTTAAAGACATAAGAACATAACAAAGCAAAACAAAACAAAACAAAATATCGTTAAAAGAGATTATGAAAAAACTTCACATATTGTGACTCACAAACTGAGCAATGATGGCAACGAGGTGGTTTCAGCTGGTTGCACTTCCGGCAATACCGGATTCTTTGATTTGATGGGTCAGTCTGCAAACCACTAAAATCCGACCCAGTCAAGGGGTCAGCCTCCCCTCTCTCTTCATCAACAGCAGGCCTCCAGTTAGGTGGCACGCAACCAGGATCCGTCAAAACAACAGAAAAGTAGCTCCATAAGAGCATCACCAACTGCACAATTATAACAAGTCTTCCACTTTTAGCTTTATTTTCTCTAATACCCTTAATCAGACACCAAATTTTGATTCCTTTAAGCTAACAATAAACTAACAAATTATCCTATTTACCACACCAAACACTATTTCTGTCTGAACTAACAGGATCAAAAGGGGGATAGAAACAAGCAGTTAGCTTTAAGAAAATGATCAAAAACAACAAAAATAAAATTCTAATAATAAGATTTCTAGAAACCACTGCCAAAAGAGACTCCAAGTAATTTCAAACTTCATGGAATGAGTTCAACCTCCACCAACATAAAAAAAAAAAAGGACCTGACTGAAGAAATTATTGAAAAAACAAAGTTTGCAGATTTTTGTAATATACTTCAAGAGGAAAAATGCCAATTTATACAACCGAAAGACACAGATTCTAAAACCCAAAAACTCTAAACAGAAAACCCATCAACACCACAAGAAAAATGTTAAGAAAAAACTCAAAATTTAATAGTTTTCGATGGTTTACCAAGCAATGGAACAAGATCAATACGACAAGAGCAATGAGAGAGTCAAGGCCACCGTTGTACAAAGCCGGGCCATAATTAGTCAAAACGACAGTGTAATAGGTGACACCTACAACCCCAAGCACCAGGAGGATCATGACTGACCCCAAACCTCGCAAAGCTGTGCAGAACTTGAACACGTTCCAAGCCATGGTCACACCAGATCTATGCATAATATTTCTCAAATACACAAAAAAACCATAAAGAAAAATCTTTTTTTTCTCAATTTGATTTCTCAGAGCTGAGTGTGATCTAGGGTTTATGATTCAGCTGGGTAGTTTGGAGGTTCAAGCTCACAGATATGTAAAGCAGAGTGGGAAACAGTAATTTGAAAAACAGAGAAAATATTTTCTCTATTTTTGTTTGCTCTGTTTGCAGCTGTTTTATATGTTTTGGAAGCGAAATTTATGTGAAGGAAGGGCTTAAAGGGGATTCCAGGTGAGGTGTGAAATTGGAATCCATTTTGTTAGAGAGAAGATGAGGTTTTTTTTTCTCTCTTTTGTTTGTTTTATTTTTAATTTTCATTTGGGTGAGACGAGATGAGTTTTGACAAAACCAACAAGACCTTTTGTCGTAATTTTCTTTTATTCTTTAATTATGGGATGGGTTGGATTTTATGATTTTTTTTTTGGCATAGTTTTACTTATTTAAATTAGAAAAGTTAGGACAAGTTTTTATAATTTAAAAGGTTCGGCTAAGTTGGCTAACAAGTCTAACTTAATGAAAAAGATCTTTGATTTGCAGATCAAAAGTCTGAAGTTCGAACCCCCATAGCATAATAGTTGTGTGTGTGTGGGAAATCTCTCTTCTTTATAATTTAGACTATCGTTTATACTAAAAAAAATAATTTAAACTAAGTTGCAAGTTATTCTAGTAACAACTTTGTAGAAAAAAAAAAACTAAATTGCAAGTTATTCTAGAAAAAAAAAACTAAGTTGCAAGTTATTCTAGTAACAACTTTGTAGAAAAAAAAAAACTAAATTGCAAGTTATTCTAGAAAAAAAAAACTAAGTTGCAAGTTATTCTAGAAAAAAAAAACTAGTTCCGCATAAAAATAAAAATAAAAAACTAGTTTTGTATTTTGAGCAAGGTTCATTTGGTCATAGTCCATAACCATAAATCTAGAAGGCGGTGGTCGTCATTCTAGACTAAGAGGAATTACTTCGGGAGTTGACCCAGGATTTATTTCCAACTTTTGTAGTAGCACTACCATACATGATTTTTCCTGGATATTTCGTAAAGATATTGCTTTCTAATTTCTACTATTATATCTAAGAAACATAGAATATGTTTGCCCAAGTAATCACGAAAAAAACAATTTTAGAAGAAATGAAAATAGTTCTTACAATGGAGACTCAACAAAGCATCTCATGCCTAACACGAATGTAATAATAAAAACTCAAGAAAGAAGTTTTATTAATCAAGAAGTTGAAAAAAGCATGGCCGCACCCGCAGTACAATTCAAAAGCCAATCAATCTCACACAAAAAAGAAGCACAAATTGTATTAAACAAGCAAATGAGTCACTCGATTGCACTCACGGGTCTCAAAGTCACTTCATGAATGTTTCGCAAAACTCAACACACTTTTTGACATCTTCTACAATAATATCAATCTTGCCCACCATATTTCTTTGGAATTTAGCAGCTTTGAAAGCCTAATTGAATCCGTCCATAACCAGTCTACACTACACATTGATTTGCTTCTCTTTTTTTTCCCTTTTTTTCTGGGGTCGAAAAGAAGAACTTCATTCCAAAATGGATAGTTGATATACAAGAAAGTTCTTTATTTTCCGGAGAGGAAATATATATGTATTTTGTATTAAGTCAATGAAGACTCGACATAAGATCTTTTGTGTAGAGATAAACACTCTTAACTACCTATATAGTTTCCGCGCAGGCCGGCAGGAGCATTATATAACTTATATCTATTTTTAATATCATTCTGGGATGTAATTGTCATTCTTTTATGTTAGTGTTTTTATAGGTTGTCTTCAAATAAAGATAAACCAGTAGAGTTCGGTTAAGAAGGTCAGGTCAATGCATGTATGACCCAATCAATCAATCAAGCCAGGATTATCTGATTCAGCATTCAGCCATCTTACAAGGAAAGACTGGATCAGATCAGCTTCTCTGTGTCTTGGAGACTTGGACCAAGTTTAACCTTTTTTGGGGGTAAGAATGTCATGCATCTCTCATATTAATATTATACATTTTTCACTTTCTAAATCCAATAGAAACAACTTACTTGGAAGTCCTCTAATATTTCTAATCATAAAATATTTTATCCCCACAGCGATGGCAAGGATTTTAGTCTTGACTTCTCCTTCTCTTGAATTTTTATTTTTATTTATTAATTAAAAAAACATTGAAGCGACCTTGTTGGTTCAAGCTTCCGACTGTGGCAATTATATATCCTCTATCCTTGAATTAATGCCCTTGGTGACATTGGGAAATTGGAGTGCATGGAAGGCTAAAATCTTTATTGTCCAAAAAAATAATATACATTCTTGGTGTATTAATAGTTTTTTTTTTTACCTAATGCCTTCGGTTTACCTTCCCTTTCTACCTTCTCTCTCCTCATTTCCACTTCAATATTATCTATATATAAAACAAAATGCAGAGAACGGTAAAACATTCAACATACCAGAAAATGCCCTTAGTTACAAACATTAAGAATTGAAATTATTAATTAAATGGGGATAATATGGTAAATTCACACTTTTTCATATTAAAATAAAATAAAATTAAAAGAAAAATCAGATAATGGATCCTATTTCTATGGAATACAACTACCCATTATCTTTTTTAATTATAAAATAAATTTAAATTTTTTTAAAAAATGTCTCTCCCAAGTGCGGAAGCAGCGCATGCGAAAATGCTAGTTTAATTGATTGAAATCGTTCATTTTCGAGGTCATCCTATAAGGATTATTAATGTATTAAAAAAGCATCCAAATAAAAAATTATTTAGCGATTTCATTAACAATCCATTCTGAATCAAAATATTGAATTCATTTATTTATTTGATAACAGTTAGTTGACTGAAAGACTTCTAATTTAGTTAAATTTTACAGAGATGATCTCTTTGTGATCATCAAACCACATTACAGAATAAAGAGATAGAAAAGGCACACAAAAAAAAGCAGCTATCATTTCCCTTTTCATTTTTTTCCCACAATAAATCATAGTTATTATTTTTCTGTCTCACAAGTGTGCATTAAAGCCCATGGCCCATTAAAAGGCCACTTATGATCCACCAAGTCCAAACAAAGAACCGAGCCCATTGGCCGCCCCAACAGTGAGTTAGATCCCCCAAGTTTTGAATCGGCTTTGGCGAGGTCACAGATGCTGAGTAATCTTCTGTCCACTACTGTGCCTTTGTCTTCTATACTAGACAACTTTGTGCAAAGAATAATTCATATAAAATTTTTGTGTCATTTTCATAAGCGAATATGATATGTTACACTGCATTGTTTTTATCTTGGCCCCAGATGAATATTTAAGAGCTGCCTTACCCTCAAGGAAGGCACACTTTGTGTCATTGTGTTTGCAAGAGAGAAAAATGGAGAAGGGTCCAGTTTGTGTAACAGGTGGAACTGGATTTGTTGCCTCATGGCTTGTTATGAGGCTTCTGCAACATGGTTACACTGTTCGAACTACGGTTAGACTTGACCCAGGTAAAATATTACTCATTCCAAATTTTAGTTACTGAAACATGTGACGCAAAATACACGAGTTTCTTACTTGTTAGAAATAACCGAATAAGTTTTAAATAAACCTTAAATATGAGTTGTTTCGTTCGTTCAGGTTGTAATAGAGAGTGAGAAAATGAGTTAATTAGGATTACGATAGGTCATGGTTTAAATTCATCCAATGTACATTAACATGCATTTGATGTTTGATATTGGGCATAGAATGCAAGAGAGACCTCAGCTTCCTCACAAGCCTGCCAAGAGCATCAGAGAATCTCCAAATCTTCAATGCAGATCTCAACCAACCAGACAGCTTCAATGAAGCAATTGAAGGATGCATAGGGGTCTTCCATGTTGCTCACCCCATGCCTAACAAAGAACTTGATGAAGAAGCAGTGACCAAAAAAGCTGTCCAAGGAGCCCTAGGCATATTGAAAGCCTGCCTAAATTCCAAGACTGTGAAGAGGGTTGTGTACACTTCTAGTGCATCAACTGTGGCTTACAGTGGCAGCAGCCAAGACTTGGTGGATGAGAGCTCATGGAGTGATATTGAATTTCATAGGTCTCTTAAAATATTTGGGACTTCATATGTTTCTGCCAAGACCAAAACAGAGCAAGCTATCCTGGAATTTGCAGAAAAAAGTGGATTGGAAGTTGTCACTTTGCTCCCTCCATTAGTTGTTGGTGGATTTATCTGCAAAAATTTCCCTAGCTCAGTTTCCTTGGCCCTGGCCATGATTTTAGGTATGTATTGAGTGCACTTCCTTGTTTTTTTTTCAATGAATTTCAAGCTAGTTTTCTGAAATCAATTTCCAAAAACTCATTAGGCCATCTAACCAAGCTTGAACAATTATGCAAAATGCCACACCCCCTTTTTTTCTATAAAAAGGGAAAAAATCTAATTGTGTTGTTGATTTGGCCTAGAAAAAAAACAGGATCATTGCATTTCCCAATTTCAAAAAAATTTGAGACCTAAACCAAATCTACATATTTCTTGTATGCAGGAAATCGAGATAACTACAGATATCTTATCAGGCGAAGTTTCGTACATGTAGATGATTTGGTTAGTGCCCATATCTTTCTTTTTGAAAATTCTGATGCAAAAGGGAGGTACATTTGTTCATCAAATCAGCTACCCATAGATGAAATGTCCCAATTTCTGTCTGCAAAATACCCTGATTTTCCCATACCCACAACCGAGTGAGTAATTCCATTCTAATACAACTCCTTAACTCTTCTGTCATTTTAATCTCAGATTATAAAAACTAAACTATCTGTTTTTGACCTCTTCCCCCTTGACCTACACAGTTTCTTGAAGGGTATTGAAGGTTACAAATCGTGTGGCTTCTCATCACAAAAGCTCATGAGTTTTGGATTCAAGTTTAAGTACGGACTCGATGACATGTTTGGTGATGCAATTCAATCTTGCAGAGAAAAGGGTTTTCTTTAAATCGAATTCACTAATTAGCATGACGCTTTGATTAGGGTTAAGATCATCTCCCTTTGAAAATCTAATAAAAGTTTAAAATATCAATGTGTGTTGAACAAATTGACCATTATGTAAAGTTTTGGGACATCTTCAAAAGTTTCAAGATTGATGTACTTGTGCCTAAATGCACATGTAATATGGTCTACATGATTGGATAAATAAATTTATGGCAAGCTTGTGGAGTGAGAAAATTGTCATTATACCATTAAAGAAAAACGTGTGCAACCGATGTACGCAATATCCTTTTTGTGACACATTAGTTGAGTGATTCTTTCCTTAACACATTAATTGAAGAGCCTATTATAGTTTTGAGTATTTTAAAGGGTTTGTCCAATATAGATCCCTACATTTTCTATTTCCTAGACATATACCCATCACTCTATAAATCTGTGTAAAACCCAATTTCAAATTTAAATGACCAGTAAGATATAAGAGGTCGTAGTATTCCTATGTTTTTACATCGTTACCACCAAACTTCATATTTTATTTATAATTTATTTCAAGCATTTTATTAACTGTCATAATTGTAATTAACACTCCCTATTAATAGCATATCAATCACCCCATTTCTTTTGGTTGTCATTCCCTCTCACATACCGCCCCCTAAAATTACAAACCAAAAAAATATCTGTCAATTACATATCCAATAATGTACCTATGAAAAATATAAATATAAATATATTATTTAAATAAAATATAGGTATATTATTTATCAACAAAAAAAAACTAAGTCATTTACTTTGTAATTGAAATTTCCGTACATTTTTCATAAATTAAAAATAGGTACACAATAATTTATAGAAAATATAGGTACATTATTTACCCATAGGTAAATTATTTTACAATATACCTATAAATGTGTATAGGTACATTATTTGGAGAGGAAAAATAGGTTCATTTAAAAAAAATACGTACATTGTTTTACTAGGTACATTATTAGAGGAAAAAAAATAGGTACATTATTTGGAGAGAGAAAATAGGTTCATTTAAAAAAATTGTTTTTCATAAAACAAATAATAGGTACTTTATTCAGAGAAAAAATAGGTACATTTAAAAAAAATGTTTTTCATAAAACAAACAATAAATAGATTATCAAAATATTTTTCAACATAATTAGAATGTACACTATTATTCATAAAATTATAATAAAATAGATTACTAGTAGTATAATTCATAAAAGGAAAACAACAACGAAAAATTATTAAATAAACCAAAACTTTTTTTTTTGGGGGTAAAAAACAAACAAAAATGTTACTAATACTTTAATGTTGAATTTAATATTTAATTTCAAATAAGTTTCTAAATTAATTCCTACATCCATTACAACCATTTGAAGGTCTTTTCAAATTCAACGTGCCATTAGTTACACCCCACATAACACGTTAACTTGTAAATATGGGTAGTTTTGGAATCCGAAAAATATAATAAATCAAATTTTAAACTAGATTAGGTAACTTGCTTACTTGGATCATAGTCATCGGGTTTTATTTGAAATAGAAAAATTGGGTATTTTAAATAGAAAAATAAAATAAAGGGTTGTAGGTGATTACAAATGAATTTTTTGGGTCTAAGCTCAATTTTACTGTATTTTTTAAAAAGTTGCTATAGAGAGTATGAAGTTCATACAAGCAAGTCATTGTGATACTCTACAAATCAAGGAAAAGGATGGATTGAAAAAGAAACGAGTACTAGTTGGTCATATCATATATTTTTTTTCCACATAATTATATTTTCAAATTCAATTACCTCCTCTATATTTTAAAAAAAAAAATTATGATAATTCGTTGACATGAATCATAATCAATCATGGCAGGATGACCTGATTCAGCATTCAGCCATCTTACAAGGAAAGACTGGATCAGATCAGCTACTCTGTATCTTGGAGACTTGGACCAAGTTGAACCTTTTTTGGGGGTAAGAATGTCATGCATCTCTCATATTAATATTACTTTCCCTTTCTACCTTCTCTCTTCTCATTTCCCCTTCAATATTGTTTAATTGATCGAAATCGTTCATTTTCGAGGTCATCCTATAAGGATTTTTAATGTATTAAAAAAGCATCCAAATAAAAAAAAAATATTTAGCCATTTCATTAACAATCCATGCTCAATTGAATTCATATTTATTTGATAACAGTTAGTTGACTAAAAGACTTCTAATTTGGTTAAATTTTACAGAGATCATCTTTAAAGGATTGCCGAAAAGAACCACATTGTAGAATAGAGAGATAGAAAAGGCACAAAACAAAGGCATCTATCATTTCCCATGTTTTTTTTTCCACAATGGTGTGGTTTATTTATTCATAAATAGTAAATAAATCATAGTAATTATTTTTTACCTCACAGATATGCATCAAAGCCCATGGCCCATTAAAAGCCCATATATGATCCAACAAGTCCAAGCAAAGAACCGAACCCATTGGCCGCCCCAACAGTGAGTTAGATCCCCCAAGTTTTGAATCGGCTTTGTTGAGGTCACAGATGCTGTGTAATCTTCTGTCCACTACTGTGCCTTTGTCTTCTATACTAGACAACTTTGTGCAAAGAATAATTCATATAAAAATTTTGTGTCATTTTCATAAGCGAATATGATATGTTACACTGCATTGTTTTTATCTTGGCCCCAGATGAATATTTAAGAGCTGCCTCACCCTCAAGTAAGGCACACTTTGTGTCATTGTGTTTGCAGGAGAGAAAAATGGAGAAGGGTCCAGTTTGTGTAACAGGTGGAACTGGATTTGTTGCCTCATGGCTTGTTATGAGGCTTCTGCAACATGGTTACACTGTTCGAACTACGGTTAGACCTGACCCAGGTAAAATATTACTCATTCCAAATTTTAGTTATTGAAATATGTGACGCACAATACACGAATTTCTTACTTGTTAGAAATAACCGAGGTTTTAAATAAACCTTAGATATGAGTTGTTTCGTTCATTTAGGTTGTAATAGAGAGTGAGAAAATGAGTTAATTAGGATTACGATAGGTCATGGTTCGAATTCATCCAATGTACATTAACATGCATTTGATGTTTGATATTGGGCATAGAATGCAAGAGAGACCTCAGCTTCCTCACAAGCCTGCCAAGAGTATCAGAGAATCTCCAAATCTTCAATGCAGATCTCAGCCAACCAGACAGCTTCAATGAAGCAATTGAAGGATGCATAGGGGTCTTCCATGTTGCTCACCCTATGCCTAACAAAGAACTTGATGAAGAAGCAGTGACCAAAAAAGCTGTCCAAGGAGCCCTAGGCATATTGAAAGCCTGCCTAAATTCCAAGACTGTGAAGAGGGTTGTGTACACTTCTAGTGCATCAACTGTGGCTTACAGTGGCAGCAGCCAAGACTTGGTGGATGAGAGCTCATGGAGTGATATTGAATTTCATAGGTCTCTTAAAATATTTGGGACTTCATATGTTTCTGCCAAGACCAAAACAGAGCAAGCTATCCTGGAATTTGCAGAAAAAAGTGGATTGGAAGTTGTCACTTTGATCCCTCCATTAGTTGTTGGTGGATTTATCTGCAAAAACTTCCCTAGCTCAGTTTACTTGTCCCTGTCCATGATTTTAGGTTTGTATTGAGTGCAATTCCTTTTATTTTTATTTTTTTTATTCAAGCTAGTTTTCTGAAATCAATTTCCAAAAACTCATTAGGCCATCTAACCACGCTTGAAAAATTATGCAAAATGACACACACCCCCTTTTTTTTTTTCCCAAAAAATCAAAATGTGATGTTGATTTGGGCTAGGAAAAAAAACAGGATCATTGCATTTCCCAATTTCAAAAAAATTTGAGACCTAAACCAAATCTACATATTTCTTGTGTGCAGGAAATCAAGATCACTATAGATATCTTATCAGGCCAAGTTTCGTACATGTAGATGATTTGGTTAGTGCCCATATCTTTCTTTTTAATAATTCTGATGCAAAAGGGAGGTACATTTGTTCATCAAATCAGCTACCCATAGATGAACTGTCCCAATTTCTGTCTGCAAAATACCCTGATTTTCCCATACCCACAACTGAGTGAGTAATTCCATTCTAATACAACTCCTTAACTCTTCTGTCATTTTAATCTCAGATTATAAAAACAAAACTATCTGTTTTTGACCTCTTCCCCCTTGACCTACACAGTTTCTTGAAGGGCATTGAAGGTCACAAATCGTGTGGCTTCTCATCACAAAAGCTCCTGAGTTCTGGATTCAAGTTTAAGCATGGACTCGATGACATGTTTGGTGATGCAATTCAATCTTGCAGAGAAAAGGGTTTTCTTTAAATCGAATTCGCTAATTAGCATGACCCTTTGATTAGGGTTAAGATCATCTCCCTTTGAAAATCTAATAAAGGTTTAAAATATCAATGTGTGGTGAACAAATTGACCATTATGTAAAGTTTCGGGACATCTTCAAAAGTTTCAAGATTGATGTACTTGTACCTAAAAATGCACATGTAATATGGTCTACATGATTGGATAAATAAATTTATGGCAAGCTTGTGGAGTGAGAAAATTGTCATTATACCATTAAAGAAAAACGTGTGCAACCGATATACGTAATATCCTTTCTGTGACACATTAGTTGAAAGATTCTTTCCTTAACACATTAATTGAAGAGCCTATTATAGTTTTGAGTATTTTTAAAAATTGCTATAGAGAGTATGAAGTTTATACAAGCAACTCATTGTGATACTCTACAAATCAAGGAAAAGGATGGATTGAAAAAGAAACGAGTACTAGTTGGTCATATCATTTTTTTTTCCACATAATTATATTTTCAAATTCAATTACCTCATCTATATTTAAAATAAATAAATTATGATAATTCGTTGACATGAATCATAATTTTAATAATGAGTAAACGTAATTGAAGCTTGTGATCGGCTGGACATTATTAAACTAAACTAAATTAATAATAAGTAAATATCGAACCTTCGATGATGTGTAATATCAGTGTATATACAGGTTATATTTATAAATTAATAGTTGCATTAATAAAAGCAGAGATGCCAAAAGATGAAATATTAATTTAATATCGTTTATATCGTGGTTGATTTTGCAAATATAATAAAGAATTTAGTTATATTAGGTAATGGCATTGTCATATATATGTCAAACTTCATTGCCTCCGAAAGAAACGTAAAGAATGTGCAGGCACTAGCTGTAATGACAAACTCACAAACTATTGACCCTTAATTATCGCAAGTTAATTAATTATCATTTATATATATCATACTTATAATTTATATTTAAGCTCTCTCAATGAACCTTAATTAGCCAAATCAAGCTCAGAGAGAGAGAGAGAGAGAGAGAGAGAGAGAGATCTCAATGGAAGAGGTTGGAGGAGGAACAGTTTGTGTAACTGGTGGAACTGGATATGTAGCTTCATGGCTGATTATGAGGCTTCTTCAGCATGGCTACTCTGTTCGAGCCACCGTTCGATCCAACCCTTCAGGTAATTCAGATCAAATGACCTACAATAGTTGTGTTGATCAATGATGATGAAAACCATACCAAACAGTTGGAGATTGTATGAAATTTTTGTTTGATCATACGTCAGTTTAGTTTTCTATTATAGATTAATCTGCAGAAGTTTCTGTTTCCTTATAATTTCTTTGTTACATGTTGTTCTTGTAATTGTTTGATGAGCGCACAAACAAGATATTGAGCGTATATATAGAGTAGCACTCAAGCACCAATAGTCAGTAAGTTAGTATGGCGCTAATCAATTTGCAGGGTTGACCTTTGAATGAGGAACTAAAAATTGTACGGTCGGATTATAAAATTTACACTGTAGAGTAGACTAAAATAAGTAGTTAGCACTATATTAACTTACTAACTGGTTAGCGTTTGAGCGTTGCTGAACATATATATAATTCCAAGGGTCTGTTCACATATTGTCGATTGATTTTGAGTTGGGTGTTCTAATTCTCTCACAGTGTTAAAGAAGGTAGCCATGTGAACGTGAAAGAAGGTAGACACGTGTCCATTTTCAGATTTTCTTGGGTGTTCTAATTTTTCACTTATGGCCTTTTTGACATATAATTTGATGAGCTGATCATATTTATATATGGCAGCTGAAAGCAAGAGAGATATCAGCTACTTGACAAACTTACCGGGAGCCCCAGACAGACTCCAAATTTTCCATGCAGATCTCAATCAACCAGAGACTTTCAACGAGGCCATTCAAGGCTGCACAGGAGTCTTCCACGTTGCTCACCCCATTGATGTGGACGGCAAAGAGCCAGAAGAAACAGTGACCAACAGAGCTCTGGAAGGAACCCTAGGCATTTTAAAGGCATGCATAAACTCCAAGACAGTGAAACGCGTCGTTTACACTTCAAGTTTAGCCACAATATTGTTCAACAGCAAAGGCCTTAGTGAAACTGATGAAAGTACATGGAGTGAGCTTGATATTTGCAAAAGCAGCAACCTTGTGAGCTCTTCATACTTGGTTTCTAAGACAGTTGTGGAGAGGGCAGCTTTGGAGTTTGCAGAAAAGCATGGCTTGGATCTTGTCACTGTTGTTCTTCCCATTGTATTTGGACCCTTCATTTGTCCAAATATTCCTGCTTCTGTGTACATGGGACTGGCTCCCATATTTGGTAAATTTTTCTTAATACTGTATAGTCCTGCATCTGTGTACATTGAATTATTTGTCGTGTCACGTTTCACCAAATTTTATTCACCAAATAATGAGCAGTATTTAATTGGTCAAGATGCTAGAGACGCCCATTTTAAATTTATTTATTAACATGTATATTAGTATATACTTTCTATTATGAAATCCTTAATTGTTTAATTGGTTGTATTTTTTGACGTATGTAGGTGATGAGGACAAATGTAAATATCTTACTAGCACATATATGGTACACATAGATGATGTGACAAGTGCACATATCCATCTTCTGGAACATTCTAGTGCAAAAGGGAGGTACATTTGTTCCTCAGTTCAAACAACAATTCATGAATTATATGATTTTCTTCCTGCAAGATACCCCGACTTTCAAATACGAATGTCAGAGTAAGATTATGGTTTCTCCTTTATATTCTTATTAGAATGCTAGTATCAGTTTATGTGAGTTTCACTCTACATATGTGTATGTGTTGGTGGTTGTATTAATTGACGTGTGGCTTAATTATTTATGTGCGTGTAAACAATTGACGTTATCAACGAATTTATTGTCGTTGATGATGTCAAATATACTGAGGCATATTCAATCTTTTTCTTATTGTTTTCTTCTTTTTAATCTATACTTTTTCAGCAACTTAAAGGAGATTAAAAGTTACAAACGATCAAAGGTCTCTTCAAGGAAACTGTTGAGCACTGGGTTCAAGTTCGAATACGGCCTCGGTGAAATGTTTGATGGTGCGGTGCAATGCTGTAAAGAGAAGGGTTTCTTATAACTCAGGCTTGGTTCAAGCAAATAATCATTGTAATCCTTACCATGCCAAGTGTGAATAACCAATTTTACTTTTTCTAATATTTTGGCCCGTGATTTTTTGTAAGAATATTAAAATAAAAAAAATAAAAAAAAGGCTAAATTGCACGAATTATGCCACCAAAAGAAAAAGAAAAATTGCACAATTAGCTATGTGGTGTGAATCATATAAAAAAAAAGCCTTTGTGGTTAAACCTATTACCAATCATAGTCCAAATCGAAATTTCCGTCTAATTGCACCTATGTGCACATAACATGCAGAGGTAAAATGATCCTTGCACGTGATGAGCACATTAGCACAATTTGACAAAAATTTTAGTTTAAAACCAAGATTAATAACGGGCTTAACCACAAGAGTATTAGTGGAAGTTTTTCCATGACATAAGTAATTTGATGTATGATCCACATCGCATGGATCATTTGTGCAAATTGGCCCAATAATTCTTAGTCATAAGATTAGAACATGAGGAATTGGGAGTGAGAGGACCTGCTTAGAACATGAGATCAGCAAGATGCAACACAGACTGATCCCATTAACTCAAACCCCCCAAAAAAAAAAAAAAAACACCTCATCCCTTTATCACCTCACAAGAAGTAATGACGGTTCTAGGTGTCAGCGACACCTTTTCTTCCCCCTTCTTTTTCCTTTATCATAATTTCAAGTGTAAATCATTGTTTGTTTTGACCTGGGTGTAAATTGTAATGCATTTCAACTTCAAGCCCAACAAACAAAAGAAAAAGTCTTAAGCACGTCTCTGTTGATAGTTACCCAAGATGGCAGCAACAAATGAAAACAAAGCATCTCATGAAATTCACTGCATGCCCACTCAGAAAGTTACTACACAATACAAGCTGACAAAGAGCCCTCACCAAAGATAAGACTGCCTTGTTTATATCTTGAGATTGTAATGAGCAAATCAACCAGACTTGTGGATTGAAGAAAACAGAGAGATGGAGGAGGGAGAGAAAGGAAGAGTATGTGTAACAGGTGGTTCAGGGTTTTTAGGGTCTTGGCTGGTCATGAGGCTCCTTGATCATGGCTACTCTGTCAACACCACTGTCAGATCAGACCCAGGTAAAGCCACTACTTCACTTGATTGCCAAGCCATAATATTTTAATGGAGATTTCTCTGTAAGTGTGGTATCTTGTAGGATTTTTATTTTCATAAGGTCAAGGGAAAAAGTGTTTCTGTCTTCTTATCCAAACCACTTAATTTGTGTGCACATGAAAAGTAAAGGCATAGCATCTGTTTTTTTTCTTCTCTTAACAACCAGAGAACAAGAAAGATCTAAGCTTCCTCACAAGTCTACCAGGAGCATCGGCAAGGCTAAAAATTTTCAATGCGGATCTCAGCAACCCAGAAAGTTTCAATGCAGCCATTGAAGGATGCATCGGATTGTTCCATGTTGCTACTCCAGTTGACTTCCAAGATAAGGAACCTGAAGAAGTGGTGACCAAAAGATCAATTGATGGAGCCCTTGGCATTCTAAAGGCATGCTTAAATTCAAAAACAGTGAAACGAGTTGTATACACCTCGAGTGTATCTGCTGTCCAGTTGGGCAGGAAGGATGATGTAGAGCAACTGGATGAGAGCTTTTGGAGTGACATAGATTACATTAAAGCTGTCAAGCCATATGGAGGCTCATACATGATTTCAAAGACATTAACTGAAAGGGCAGTTCTTGAATTTTCAGAGAAATATGGATTGGATGTTGTGACAGTAATTCCTTCTTTTGTTGTTGGCCCCTTCATTTGTCCTAAGCTCCCCAGCTCTGTTCAACACACTTTGTCTATGGCCTTTGGTATGTATAGCTTGAAGAATGTGTTTGAATCCAAAG